CGTCCCTCTCGAGAATTTTTCACTCATATCGAAGACTTACCACTTGTCGATGGGGAGCTGAAATTTTTGTCCTATACTCGGTACTCATGCAGGGCCGTTGAGCAGGGAGGGATCTTTTTCGTGCCAGCACCTACTACATACGACACGGGACCTCGGTTTATACGGTCTCATCCAAAGGAGCGGTGGGGTCATCAAAAAATTATTATACTGAAATTTTATATATTTATTTTCATTTTAATACTGTAATTTACGTGGAAGCTTTTAGAGCTGAGTAGATTCTAATTTGTTCCAAATGCGGACCTTTGATACATTCAACATTTTATAAAAGAATACATGTACATTTTAAATTTGGTTGAAGTGGGGGCAAAGTGACTCAAGTGAGCATTGTAGCCCATGGGCCTCTGGTTTTTCTTCCAATTTCAAATACAAGTATTTAAATAAAGCAGTAGAACTTACATGTGTTAGTACTAATTATTAGTAAATTGATAAAACAGAAAAATATGTACAGGGAAAAAGAATTCCTCATTATAATTATCTCAAATGACATCAGTTACGCCTATTCTTTTGTGGACTGTGAGATACAGTCACTGGTCCTTTCTGTCCTTGTGTACCAATGTTTCCCTTCGGATCGAATTGAAAGGCAGTCACAGTTTGTTTCTTTGTAACAAAACTAACAATGTAAAAAAGAAAATAAAAGCTTAAATTAGTAGACTTTGAGAGGCAAATGTGTATTCTATAAAGTTTTCCTTGTTTTATGTTTTGCAACGAGGCTGTATTGTTTAAATAAACCCGTAATTTCCATCTATGAACAGAGCAAGCATAAATCTTTCTTTTTTAAATCATCAAGTGACAAAAAGTCCACGTGTTGTAGCACTGCTTTCCTAAATCCAGTAATATCTGATGACTTGTTTAAACATGCATCCTTAATTAAGCTTTTGGTTAAAGAAGATGGGGGGACAAGGCGGGCAGAATGCCTATAGCGTCAGATTTTAAGAAATCATTTTCAATATGTGAATTGAGTATTTAAATTAACTTCTCATTATGGAAATTTATGAAATTATGAGAAAAAAAATTTTCTGAGAGAAAAAAATCTCGTAAAAAATGTTTCTTTTATAAAAATATTAGATGGTATTCGTGGAATTCGAACTCTAATAATAAAAATCCGAAGAATCATACTGCTTTGAGACAAACGCGCTAACCACTATGCTACATGGCTTATGATGGTTATGGGTATTTAAATCATGTTTGTGATATGACCCTTGACTTAATGGACTTGAAGTATTTCTCGGAAATATGCGAATGCTTTGCCATAAAAGTGTACTTTTAAGGTATAGTGGGTCTTCGTTCCATGTTTTTGTAAACCAAAAAATGTATACATTATTGCAAACTTTTAGTTACCTTTCAAAAAAAATGGAGCGAAGACCCACTCATATTATAAAAAATTGTTAAAGTATGAGAAAATGATCGTTTTTTGTTCTTTTTAGTGTGTGTATGCTTTTCCATACATGTAGGCATGTACTTTTAAGTTTTTATGGGATTTTTGTAAATTGTAGAGATTTTACATTTAGTATACTTTGGTATTAGATGAAATATCAAATAAAATTTGGATATAATTGAGATTTAATTTTTCACTTCTTATCTGTCGATCTATAGGCACTTCGCCCGCCTTATCCCCCCATCTTTCTAGAAAATCACAATCCATGTTATTGTAAAATGTACATTATTGCTGGATGTCGGTGTTTATAAATATAAACAAATGACATGGAGAAAAAAGGCAGTTTACAAATACATACAGGAACACATCAACAGTTACTGTAACATAATATTTCGGCATAAATGCGAGGTCCATTCCTGCTACACATACTTCCCTCCGTAGGATTAACATTTATTTCAAATAATACAAAGCATAGCAGGAAATTTTAATTATATAGTGTAGTTAGTAAGAAGTAACGATATTTTAGGAAGAAGTTAAGAGATATTTTTCAACTTCTAAATATCAAATAAATAAAATGTTTAGTGCAATTGAACTAGTAAAATTGATTAATTATAAGTATTCCTTTCTTTCACTCTAATTTGGAAAGTTTGACCTGAGGTTGACACGATTTGCCCCATTGTCTACTGGTGATAATTACAGTTCCCTCTCCACAGGGACTGACTTCTTGATCTTTAGGTACTTTCGGTTTCCTTTCGAGTTGTCTGGATTAGTTATGGGACCCCTCTCTCCTTCGTTTTGCTTCCTGATTTGCGCTAAGGTCATAAGTGCCGAGTAAAGGTCTAAATGTGCAACCCAATAGCAAGTGGCAAAATATTGTTAGTTTGGCATTATCCTTATTACTTTGTAGTTCTCCCATCACAGCGAATATTAATTCTTTTTTGGCACACGGCGGGTGTGACCGGTCGGCAGGGGATGCTCACTTCTCCATGTCACCTGATCCCACCTCTGATGTTTTGGGGGTCCGTGTTTGCTCTGCTCCTATTTTGTATTGTTTTATTGACTTTGATATTGAATACCGTTCGTTATCTCCATATATTTATGTTACTCAATTACGTGTTAAGATCAATTTGTTCTTTACCTAAGGGGGGAATTCCTTTTTCAGAGTTATGGCGCTTTGACTACTTGTGATGAAAAAATAATTATCCTTGCTAACGTTTTTCATAGAAATTGTTTGGTCATTATATACATACTGGATTGTCGACGGATTTTTTTCCCGATCATGGCAGGGAGCTCACACCGGTTGTTACGGTCGGCAGGGAGATGCTCACTTTTCCATGGCACCTGATCCAACCACATGGACTTTTCAGCTTGGATACAGTTCGTAAACTCAGGTGACCTATTGCTATCCGTTTTCGTCTGTCCTTGTGCATTGTGGGTTAACATTTGAACATTTTCAGCTTCTCTGCAAACGCCCAACCAATTTCAATCGATTTTGACAGAAAGCATCTATGGGTGAAGGGGAACAAAAAGGGGGAGTTTCATGGACCCTATCCCCCTTGGGCCCCAGGAGTTGGGCCAAAATTGATGCAATGGGGCTCCAGGAGCTGGGCCAAAATTGATGCAATCTTTAAAAATATTTTTCTTTTCTCCTGGGCATCAAGCTGTCAAACTGTTCGCACAATAAGCAATGAGTCCTCCACAGTTACTATATTTGTGAAAATCATGGCCCCAGAGTCAGGGATTCTTGTGCTAGGTCAGGGCTATAAAGATCATTTTAGTGTGAAAATGCATTATTTCTTTGAAAATCCTCTTCTCCGATCTTGGATATCAAACGAACTAACTACATACATAGTTATTAGGAGGAACGGTGCCTCTCCTAAAATTGTGAATTTCATGGCCCCTGGGTCAGGGATTTTGGTGTTAGGGCGCGTCTCTATTGATTATATATTGTAAATGCATTAATTCCTTGAAAACCTTCTTCTCTGCTGCTGGAGAGTTTTCTTTTAAAGAATTTCTTTAAGATGATACTAAAGTGCAAAATTTTAAATTGTAATTAAATTTCGGTCAATGTCTGGTACATGTATTTCATACACTAAACAACAATTTGTGCATTGCACATGAACAAAACTTTTCCCAAAACGAATGCAAAGAGGAAAAAATAGATATGAAATGTTTTCAATATTTCCTTTATTTGGAGAAGGGAGAAATAAAAACTGAAGTGTTTTTTTTAATTTGAAATATCGTTAGAATCACCACTAAGTTTTTTGTTAAAATTTGATACCTATCTTATTATAAACAAAATCTGCAATAATTTTGTTTCCACTTAATTATTAAATGTAAGGAATGGTGCTAGTCTGTCTATAGTTCTTTTTGTGAATGTACACGAAAATGGAGTTTAAATCAAAATTAATTAAAAGCGCATTTTCACACGGAAATCAGGAAAAGAGTTGACACTACACAGATGACACTTAAACGGCAATATGCTGAAGTTCAAAACTTGTTTAAACGTGGAAAGGAAAATCAAAATATCACATAAACTGGGAATTAATATTACAAAAATTCTTATGTACAAAATATCAAAGTATGGCCTTTTACATGATTGAAAATTGATGTTTTACATTTAAACTTTAGTACTTACTCCATCTGTAAGTGATTGCATTTCTCTATGATTGATAAATTCTCGAAAGAGAAATAAAACGACAAACGAACATGAAAAATCCTCTGAATTAACATATAAATTGATTTTGGAAATTAACTCCAGAAAACCTGGACCAGAGTTTATACTTACAAAATATTACCAGGTACCTTTATACATTTATTTAGTATATAGGTCCTTGATTTTACCATAGTGAAATAAATCAACGAAGTCTATTAAATTTTATATCGCATAGTACATGTTATTGTCGTAATCTTTTTTTTAAAAAAATATTGAAACTCCTTTGCTTTCCTCTTCGATTTATTTCAATGTAAAACTTGGATACCCTATTGTGCCTCCCCCCCCCCCCGGGGGGGGGGGGGGGTAATGATTTTAACAAATTAGAATCTACACTACCCAAGGATGCTTCCAAGTAAGAGTTTTATCTATTCTGGCCTAGTGTTTCTTGAGTACAGCGAAGTTGAAAATGTGAAAGTTTACTGACGGACGGACGACGGGTGATCAGAAAAGCGCAGAGTAGCTTTTGAACAGCTCATGTGATCAGCTTAATAACCGTAACACTAACAAAAGAAACCCAATTCTTCATTAAAGTAACCAAGTTTTTTGTGTCTAATTTTAAAACAAAAAATAGATTGATGTCTGATTAATAGCAATGATGTAAAACTAAAGCAATTTATATTCGAAGTAAACAGTCTAGTTTTAAATATATTTGAGCAAACAAAAAAATTCATCTCTGTTGTAAGAATATTTTGTACGCCATATAAAATTTAATTATCGATTTTCAACAACTATATTTTAAATTTAAAATTTTTCTCAGCGCGAATTTCATTTCCTCATTCTAGTAAACAAAACAGGAATAGTAAATATTTCCTCAATATTCATTTTACAAGGATAATCGTAGTTTCAATGATGTTTCTTATTCGTGTGTTGGAAATTTTCATGAAGTGTTCCGTTGTTTTTATCTCTGCTCAAGAAAGTGGATATTGTGGAGAAGGGTAAGTGTTTAGCCAGTAAGATTAACATGACATCAGGCCTGGGGGCCATAAAACTTAGACGATCTCACTTTAGATTTCAGTCTCACTTTACCACTATATATTCCTTTGGTAAAAGTGAGACTGAGATCAAAAGTGAGTTCGTTTAAGTACTCACTTTAGATCTCGGTCTCACTTTAACACTATGTATTCCTTTGGTAAAAGTAAGACTGAGATCAAAAGTGAGCTTAATTGTCTAAGTTTTATAGCCCCAGGCCAGGTGTTATAAAATTTATAATCAATTCTTTTTGTCACTCTATCGTCATTTAAATAATTTGTATTGAAAGTAAATTTCATTTTCAGTCGCATACATACAATTTACATTGAGATTTCATTATGCTCACTAACTTATCAATTTATTAGCTAAGCTTGGAAGATAAGTCAGCTAAATAACATCATCCGATTACTCATTAAGCTTAATCTGAAGATTCATTTTTTTAACAGCAAATTGCTTTTATTCTTTTTGTAAATGAAATTAAATATTGGAAAATCAATTATATATATATTCTTTTGGGGTCAAATATTGGTGATTTAAGGTAAGAAAACTGGGAGAAATTTGATTTCTTGATTAAAATAAAATTGTTATAAATTAGATTGAAAACGATCAAAAACTTAATTCCCCTCCCTTTCTGAAAATTAGTGATTTGAACAGTAATTCAGCACCACAAATTGATTGATTACAGTGTGAGGAACAAATATTTTGCATTAATCAGCATCAGGATAAAATTTTAGCTGGTATCAGGATCAGAATTTAAGGGGGCCGACTATAGTTTCCATTGCGCAATATTTCGCGCATCATCGTAAAATGAAGCGTATTTACTGTTTTAATGCAACTTTTTTCGCTTAATTATTAAAATTAAACAAAATTAAGAAATTACAGGTATTAAAATGTAATTACAATTTGATATAACTGATTTTTTAACCGATATTGCAATTGATAGGTAGGTTGACGTCGTTGCAGTGTGTTTTTGACGTTATGATAACCTGTAGCTCTTAAAGAAACTTTTTTTAAGAAAGGGGTAAGAAAAATATTATTAAAGAAAAAGTACTAAACGTACGCTCTTGAAATTTAAAACAGAGAAATTTAAGAATATCCGCAATATTTTTATTATGTTTTCATGTGAATCCATTGTGTACGTCATATTTTGTAATACTCTATAAAAATAGTAAAATTTGCTTATTTTTTGCATTTTGAGATGCCCCCTCTGGTAACAAGACGGTAGAATTTTGTTTCTTGCATATATTGTATAATATAGTATTACTCATCATATTACAGTTTGAACAAAATGTCTATTGTAGTATTTGTATAATTTGCTTTAAAGTGCTAAAAAGTGGCATTTTCCTATATAATCCTATAGATAGTAAATGTACCTGTATTTTGAGACGGTCCCTCAAAAATACCTGGACAGTAGATTTCCCCCAAACTTTGCATGTACACTGAAGTTAATGTAAGTTATATATGATATATAAATGAAGAGTTTCGCAATTGTAGTTTTCACACAATAAAACTATAGTCGGCCCCCTTAAAAAATAGCATTATCAGGATAAGCATCTTCAAGCAAAGGATAGAATTTGCATTGGCCTACTTAAAATCGGCTTTATCCTACTAACAGTCAGAGGTCAGTAAAAAAAATTGAAATCAAAGAAAGAAAGTGGGCTAATTATTTAAATTATTTATACATAATGAAATCTGATAATCAAATGAATATATTAGGCACTTTAATTGCTTTTTAAAGATTTAAAAATGGTCACGCTAAAAGTCAATTATATTTACTTCCGGTAGCATGATGCAAATTAGGTAGCATTGACTTAATTATAAAAGGGCATCAGGATAAGGATTACGAGCATTAAATCCGGAAGCATTTAAATCAAAATCAATTCTGTAAAAAAGTTAGTTCCCTGCCGTACTGTGTTGCCATGAGTATTACTTTTGTACAAAGGTGCGTCATCCCTCTGTTTAACACCCCCCCCCCCCTAATCTTTATCATTACTGGAAAAATAAGAATTGACAGGAATATGCAGTTAAACTTTAGAACTTTTCAAGCATTGTCATTGATCAAGTGAGTTATCCCCCTTTAAAGGGTCAGTTAGCCTTAACCGTTTTTGTCATTTTTTTCTGATGATGAAGCAGATGCTGTAACAATTACCACTTCAAAGATGGACAGTGTGTTGGTAAGTAAACAAGAGTATTGTCCTGATAAAATTTAGTATTCAAAATAATTTCTGAATGAATTTGCGAATCATTTACTTACTTTTAAAATGAATTACGTTTATGTGTGTGTGTCCAGTGAATGAAATTATCTGTGGGTGTAAATTTAATTTTAGAGTGTCCAGCTGGATGGTTTGATCGCAATTGTTCACAGCGCTGTCCAAATGACAAGTACGGCTATGGATGCCTACACAACTGTTTGCAGTGTGCACATGGATGTGATCGTGTGCATGGGTGTGTCTTATACAACAGTGAGTACACAACTGACCTTTTTAAATTGGTAATAAAGTGTTTTGCATACACTTAGTGGAAAACACCCGCTGTGGTCTTTAGTTCGATATTCAAATATATCAACGATTTTTTTGTAATTAATTATAACAATACTTATTGTCATTCATACATGTATGTCGATTCGATATATCCAAGTTATCATTAAATAAATCACACCACATATTCTTCCATATCTGTTTCGTATTTAGATATTTTACTGACTATAGACAATAAGGGCCAAATAACAACAAAAATTACAAATTGTATGACAAACGAGATTACTTCATCGTCAACCTTCCTTATTTATTACAGTAATTAAATTCCACTATACTAGTAACTTGCTTATGGTGTTTATGTCCCCCAACTTACTGGCTATTCAAGAGGTTGTTATGAGTAGATCAATTTTAAAACCGAGGCATGCTACACACTGATACTTTGATTAAGTTTATGTTCAAACAATGTCTCAAAGTCAGCATTTCAAAACTTGTCTCTGTCAAATAAAATATATCATTTAGTAAAATGCTGACTTGTTTCTTGAAAACAAAATAACCAACTTCTCATTGGGTCGTATTTAGGCTGACATGTAAGGTCTTTTTTTTTTTTTTAACAAAGTAATATATCTGAAGGAAAACTTTTTTAGGAAATCTTCTCAACAGCAAAGTTTTGTGTAATATTGATATGGAGGTATCCTTAGGTAGGATAAAGTTTATCCCCCCCCCCAAAGTAAATCTGATTTCTGCTTTTTCCTAGCCAATGTGTTCAGGTGAGCGATGTGGCCCATGGGCCTCTTTTTGAATATACAAGATATGACTACTCCCTATCATTATATTGCATGTTACAATGCCAGCTCCATTGCATGATTGGTCATATGTGGATTAAAATTTGAAGCAAACCAGAAGTCTCTGTCGAGACTGTAGCTCTACTGGTTTGTACTTATAATAAAGGAAGAGAAAAGTAGCAGTTGGGACATTTAACTTTACAGAAGCAATAAATAGAATAATGATCCTTGATTAAGTCTCTTTTTGTGGCAAGACTGCAATAAGACTACAACTGTAGGAGTAGCTTTTAATAACATTTTACAGAACTAGGAGGAGATAGTTCACAGAAATTTCTCTTTTTAGTAGCCATGGCAACACCGTTCATCGAAATCAAAAAACCGATTCACAGAATTATGTATCTTAGTGTAGTCTACTTGTGTGGCAAGTTTTATTGAACTTAAACCAAAATTGTAGGAGGAGTAGCATTTTAAAAGTATTTCATAGAAATTTCTATTTTAAGTAACCACGGTAACATCATTCATCGAAAACCAAAACCGATAAACAGAATTATGTATCTTAGTGTAGTCTACTTGTATGCCAAATTATATTGAAATCAGACCAAAACTGTGGGAGGAGTAGCATTTTAAAAGTATTTCACAGAAATTTCTATTTGTAGTTATTACCGTAACGGCAACATCGTTCTTCGAAATCAAAAACCGATACTCACAATTATGTATCTTGGTGTAGACTACTTGTGTGCTAAATTATACACAGGGGCTTGTCACGAAATATTTATCTTCTTTTAATAAAGTTACCCCTACTATAAAAATACATAAGGGAGGAATCTAAAAATAGGAAATTCGCTACCACAAATTTTGACCGGACTTTCTATCTTGTTTCTGTGCGACTTTCGTTGCGGACCAAGTAGGAGTGAGTGGAGTATAGATTCCATTTTAATATTCTTCAGTCAAATTCTAATCAACGCGTACCGTTAGTCATATAACTAACCTCTTTTCTCGATATTTGGATCTGGCGACAGTTCTTTCCATATGAATTTCCGGCGTAAATTGAATGCAGGGCTCTGATTGGTTGCTTTCTGTAAATAACTCGTACACAAAGTAGCTCTTTAATTTAGTGCACCAAAACGGAGGGAAAATCAAACTGTCGTGATGGCACTGAACAATACAGCTGTGGTTTCATTGTACGCATTTTACTATATTTGGTTATATTTATTTATATAAACATGTTAAATATCCTTCACTAAGCATGTCAATCCTTACAGTTTATATTTTGTGTACGAGTTATCTACAGAAAGCAACTAATCAGAGCGCTGCTTTCAATTGACGCATATGGAAAGAACTGTCGCCAGATCCAAATATCGAGAAAAGAGGTTAGTCATATGACTAACGGTACGCGTTGATTAGAATTTGACTGAAGAATATTAAAATGGAATCTACTCCACTCACTCCTACTTGGTCCGCAACGAAAGTCGCCCAGAAACAAGATAGAAAGTCCGGTCAAAATTTGTGGTAGCGAATTTCCTATTTTTAGATTCCTCCCTTGTGTATTTTTATAGTAGGGGTAACTTTATTAAAAGAAGATAAATATTTCGTGACAAGCCCCTGTGAATCATATTGAAATCAGACTAAAACTATTAGCATTTTAAAAGTATTTCATAGAAATTTCTATTTATAGCAACCATGGCAACACCGTTCATCTAATTAAAAAACCGATATATAGAATTATGTAACTTAGTGTAGTCAACTTGTGTGCCAAGTTATATTGAAATCAGACCAGAACTGTAGGTGGAGTAGCATTTTAAATGAATCTCACATAAATTTCTCTTTTTTGTAACCACGGCAACACCGTTCATCGAAATCAAAAACCGATACAGAATTATTAACTTAATATAGTCTACTTGAGTGCCAAGTTGTATTGAAATCAGACCAAAACTGTAGGAGGAGTAGCATTTTGAAAAATTGTTTACGGACGGACCACAGGCCTTTGGATCGCTTAAAAAAAAATTGTGTGTGTAAAAAAAAAAATAAAGGTACTGGGTACCTAATTTCGCTAATAAAATAATATTTTTTATTCGAATGCTCTAAAATTCTACTTTCTATTTAAATCTATTCATAGATAAACATTCTTCAATTCTACCAAAGCTCATTCCGAAATTCCATATATTTCTTGAGATATTCTGAAATCAATTTCAAAAATGACCTACTTTCTTTTACTCGACATTAGCTTGGGCCCCTGGCCATTCACATGTAAACAGACGGTGTTTGAAGTGCGGCGAAGAGTTGCATAGTATTTGCAAAATCTTTCAACAATTTAAAGTTGATTTCTTACTCCAGATTGTAATGTTAAGTCCGTAATAATATTCCATTCGCGAAAAATTAATTTGAAAACGTCTACATCATCAACTACCGCCATGTTGATTACGAATGTAAATGAAGCCATGGTAGAACGAATTTTTCCCGGAATGCATTATATACCGTTCGATTTTCAAAACAATTAGACCGCTAAAATGCTGTTTATGACTTAGTTACACCATATGTTCAAATTAAAGAAAAACCTTGTAAAGCTTGAATGCAAATGAGCAAATATTCATTGAGTTTAGAATAAATTCCGGGGAAAATTTGTCCCGTCGTTCCCGCTTTACAATTAGTGAAGGCCCAAGCTGATGTCGAGTAAAAAAATTATTGTCAATTTGGGAATTGATTTCAGAATATCTCGAGAAGTATAAGGAATTACGGAATGAACTTGGTAGTAATGAAGATTATTTATTTTTGAATTGATATGGATAGAAAGTAAAATTGTAAAGCGTTTGATTTAAAAGAATTTTATTGGCAAAAGTAGGTACCCCATGAAAAGAGTTCCATACCTTTATTTTTTTTTTCAACACCTCAATTTTTTTTTTCTAAGCGATCTAAAGGCCTGTGAGACGGACAGACAGACAAACAGACGGACGGATGCATTACTATCGCATAAGCTCTTTGGTCTCTGACCAGTAAAGAGCTAAAAAAAAACTATGCTAAAAGCATGCTTGCTGTTGTACCTGAAATCTGATTCATGAACCAGTACATCGTGAAACACAGGCATGGGGATATTTACTTTTCCCGTCTTTAGAAATTCGAAGGGCCCGATTCCTTGTTTTGTTTAGGTACTAGTAGATCACTTCACCTTTTACATTAGATAAAATTGTTTTACAGATTGTTCTTCTGGACTGTTTGGACATAATTGCTCACAGCCTTGTCCTAACGGTAAATTTGGGCTCGGGTGTCGGAACAGCTGCCTGGAGTGTGCACAAGGATGTGATCCTGAGTATGGATGTATTTCGAATAATGGTTTGTGTAAAGCTCGATTTTTAAATTTTCATATAAAAATTGTACAGCATACAATTTATCTGCACCAATAACCTTTAAATACGAAGGTTCTGTTATTTTTTATGCAATAGTTTTAATGTTTACTCTCAAACTAACTAACAATAAGAGATATTTCATTATTTACTCTATTAATAAAATAAATCATCGAACGAAAGATAACGGAGACTGAATATTATATTGAATTTTTGATATGCAAGTCACTGTACGCTTCTGTGATGAAAGAGCCTCTGCTCAAGAAATATGTAAAGATGTATAATTAGCGATGTTTAATGATTAATGAATCTAAATTAACGGAAATTTAGAATATTTCACAAACGCAAACGTCTCTAAAAACGAATTAGAGGCACCCTTCTTTCCTGATATGTACAATACATTTTTTTTCATGGCTTGTATATGTCACTGTAAAAATGTCATAGTGAACATGTTCCTCTTTTGAATCTGCAAAATAAATTCTCTCATAGAGACTAATAGTATTGGCTTCGACCAACCACCACCATCTCTGTGGATTTCCTCCTTCCTTGTAACAGGGAGTCTCTTGTTTTTATGTATTTTTATTGCAATCTTCAGAAGAAGGTAGGTGTATTTATAACCTACATTTTACATATCATTAATGAAAATAACATATATAGCAGTAAAGATACAATTTCAGAATCAATTCCGATTCTTTTGGCTAAACATGTACTTGCTTTCATATCTCGTGCATTTTAGTGTTGAAATATTACCAGATATTCGCCCAAAATTAAGTCATAAATTATATATTTATATATTTTTCAGAAAAGTTTCAAGGACAAAAAAGGACAACTCCTGCAAAACAAGTTCATCACTAAGCGGTGCAGTAATTTATTTATGTTCTCCTTTTTTCCCTAAGTAGCAAGAATTTTTTTTTATTTTCTCGAGATTCATAGAGCCATTTCCAGTTTGATTATACTTGATTTACTTAAACATAGTGTAACCCCTTTTCAAGTCAGAAAAGTAAGGGAAATGATATAGGTGAATATCACTTGCAATTGGTTTTACGAGATACGTCCATAAATGCAAAGAAACTGGGGAGGGGGAGGGATAACCCACTGTGATCGATGAAATATGGAGATAGCGAACCGTTCTGAAGCTAATGAAAAGTCTATAAAAACTATACAGAATCAGAACACATGCGAAATTGTAAAATCGAAGTTGGGATCAAATGCCTTGGAGGAGTATTTGAGCATCCCCTGTCGACCGAACACACCCTAAAAAATGAACAAACGTCCATTGAAACGTAATTATTTTTGTAAACAAGAGATGAGCTCTGTTATGTTTTGCAGGGTGTGTTCAATTTCGTACTCTCTGCACAACAATACGAAGAAACTTATTGTGTATACAACAATTCTTGAAATAAAACAGCATATATGCCATTCATATGTACGATTACTATAATAGCAATTTTTTGATTTTTAGCTCTACTGGTCAGAGACCAGAAGAGCTTATGCGATGGTAATGCGTCCGTCGTCCGTCCGTCTGTCTGTCTGTCTGTCTGTCCGTCTGTAAACAATTTTTCAAAATGCTACTCCTCCTACAGTTTTGGTCTGATTTCAATATAACTTGGCACACAAGTAGACTACACTAAGATACATAATTCTGTGTATCGGTTTTTGATTTCGATGAACGGTGTTGCCGTGGTTACTAAAAATAGAAATTTCTGTGAAATTCTTTCAAAATGCTACTCCTCCTACAGTTTTGGTCTGATTTCAATATAACTTGGCACACAAGTAGACTACACTACGATACATAATTCTGTGTATCGGTTTTTGATTTCGATGAACGGTGTTGCCGTGGTTACTAAAAATAGAAATTTCTGTGAAATTCTTTCAAAATGCTAATCCTCCTACAGTTTTGGTCTGATTTCAATATAACTTGGCAAACAAGTAGACTTCACTAAGATACATAATTCTGTGTATCCGTTTTTGATTTCGATGAACGGTGTTGCCGTGGTTACTAAAACTAGAAATTTCTGTGAAATTCTTTCAAAATGCTACTCCTCCTACAGTTTTGGTCTGATTTCAATATAACTTGGCACACAAGTAGACTACACTAAGATACATAATTCTGTATATCGGTTTTTGATTTCGATGAACGGTGTTGCAGCGGTTACTAAAAATAGAAATTTCTGTCACTTAACACAAGAAGTCCTGACCCAGGGGCCTGAATTTGACTCAAGTCAATTCTTTCAAAATGCTACTCCTCCTACAGTTTTGGTCTGATTTCAAAGTAACTTGGCACACAAGTAGACTACACTAAGATACATAATTCTGTGTATCGGTTTTTGATTTCGATGAACGGTGTTGCTGTGGTTACTAAAAATAGAAATTTCTGTGAAATTCTTTCAAAATGCTACTCCTCCTACAGTTTGGTCTGATTTCAATATAACTTGGCACACAAGTAGGCTACACTAAGATACATAATTCTGTGTATCGGTTTTTGATTTCGATGAACGGTGTTGCCGTGGTTACTAAAACTAGAAATTTCTGTGAAATTCTTTCAAAATGCTACTCCTCCTACAGTTTTGGTCTGATTTCAAAGTAACTTGGCACACAAGTAGACTACACTAAGATACATAATTCTGTATATCGGTTTTTGATTTCGATGAACGGTGTTGCAGCGGTTACTAAAAATAGAAATTTCTGTGAAATTCTTTCAAAATGCTACTCCTCCTACAGTTTTGGTCTGATTTCAAAGTAACTTGGCACACAAGTAGACTACACTAAGATACATAATTCTGTGTATCGGTTTTTGATTTCGATGAACGGTGTTGCTGTGGTTACTAAAAATAGAAATTTCTGTGAAATTCTTTCAAAATGCTACTCCTCCTACAGTTTGGTCTGATTTCAATATAACTTGGCACACAAGTAGGCTACACTAAGATACATAATTCTGTGTATCGGTTTTTGATTTCGATGAACGGTGTTGCCGTGGTTACTAAAAATAGAAATTTCTGTTAAATACTCTCAAAATGCTACTCCAAATAACAGTTTTAGTCTGGTTATAATATAATGTGGCATGCAAGTAGACTACACTAAGAACATAAAGAGACTTAATCAAGGATCATTATTCTATTTATTGCTGTTGAAAAGTTTCAATTTCCAACTGCTTAAGTACTTTTCTCTTCCTTTGCTATAAGTACAAACCAGTAGAGCTTCAGTCTCGACAGAGACTTCTGGTTTTTTTTTGGGAACGACTTTACTCTACCTGTCCCCCCTAAATATATAAACGCCTTACGGGTTTATATTATATAAACAAGAGGCCCATGGGCCTTATAGGTCACCTGAGTATCATGTAACAACTTTCCGGCAATTGAATTGGATTTGTTTTAAACCTGAGCTAGGCCATGAAATTCACATTTTTGAAAGAAGCACCATTGCTTATCAAAACTATACACTTAGCATGCTTACTTTGGTTACTTAATACCAGGAAGTAGATCAGAGTTACAAAGAGAAAATGCATTTCCACTTAATCAGTAGTGCACCCCATCCCACAGGTTCCACTGACCCTGGGGCCACACCTTCAAAATTTTGGAAATTTTATTTCATCATGTTGTTGATTAATACATATGTACGAAAATGCAGATTTCAAAGCATTAAATTTTTTCAGAACTATGCCCCCCCCCCCCTCCAAGTACCTCTGTCCCAGGGGGGAAATTAACCATTTTGGAAAAAGCAGCTTTTTTCGTCATAAATATGTACTAAGATCATTGGCATAATACCCAGGAGCAAAGGAAAAGATTTTCAAAGAATTCATGCATTTTCACTATATAAACATCAGAGCCCCTCCCTAACACAAGAAGTCCTGACCCAGGGGCCTGAAATTCACAGATCTCAAAGAGGCATCCTTCCTCCTCTTAACTATGTATATAGTTCATTGGTTAATACCCAGGTCGAAAAAGAAGATTTCTAAAGAATTTATGATTGATTGATTGATTGTATATTGTTTAACGTCCCTCTCGAGAATTTTTCACTCATATGAAGACGTCACCGTATGCCGGTGAAGGGCTTCAAATTTTGACCTTTACTCGGCACTCAGGGCCATTGAGCAGTGAGGGATCTTTATCGTGCCAACGCCAGCCGCTGACACGGGGCCTCGGTTTTTAAGGTCTCATCCCAAGGACCCGCAACTTTCACTTCAAAGTGCCGAGCGCATGGCGAAGGAACAGTTGCTACCCATTTTAACGACTAGGTCGGTCGTGGCCGAGATGCGAACTCACGACCTCCCGATCATGGAGCGAGCGCTCTACCGACTGAGCTACCGTGAACGGTAAAGAATTTATGAGAGCAATCTGTGTGACGTCAACGTTTTGCGCGTGGATTCTGTCAGATCTCTGGGGGCTGGTACAGTAAAGTCTACAACAGTACAGTATACATGTACAAAACAGTTCCTGAACTCAAGCTATCTAATTAAAATTAGATGTTAGATCCGCTTATACTCGCTACACTAACGTTAGTGTATTGAGTATGCTATGCGAGCGGGTCTAACATTTAATTTTAATTAGACTGGAACTAAAGTAGCCTATATGCCATTCCCATACATGATTACTCAAACAGCAATTTATTGATCGATTTTTTTTTACACTCAAATTTTACTCAAAACACGATATTTTTTAATGGTTTCTCTAAATATATGTTACAATTTCAGCTCTTTTTTGAAAATTTTACCATCTTGTACGTCTAGCTATGCCATTTATGAGCATAGACAAACGTGAATCCTGCATTCAGAGTACATGTAGAATGAAATGGAAATACATTTGAAATTGTTCAAAACATTTTTCATCAAATTCATCTAAATATTTCCTGTTTGCAGATAGTGCAATGAACCAAACAGGAACTGTAATTGTAAGTAAGCTACCAAATACACCATCACAAAACGAGAAAATGGGAAAAATGAGCCAACTTTATTCTACAATTTCTAATGAAGCCGAGGGACTTTTACACTCCAACAGAATTTATTATTCAAGAAGGGTTTCATCTTGTAGAAACATCAAAGATGTTGCAGATAATGAGGAAAATCCATTTGAAATCGATGAAAAATATTTAATGGTGAATACAGCGTCTGTGGATCCATTTCCGAGCACAAGCTTCCCACCCTCTGTACCGTTTGTTCCTGATGAATATAATGCATATTTTATCCTGGAAAAATCAGAAACTGTTACAAATGCTCCTGAAGACATTTGAAATACAAAGAAACCGCCACATCAACGTTTTCGAAAACTAAAAATTGTTGCTTTCACACAAAGTGTGGAAAACTATATACAGAGTCTGCAAAATATGTAAATTTTTGTACTTATATTCTACATCAAAATGTATATTATTTCTTTTATTTTATTTGTTAAACCTTTACCCATTATATTTTGGTTGTTTGTATATTGTCTTGCGTCCTTCTGGAGAGAATTTTTCACTCCTATGGAGACGCCACCACTTGCTGCAAATTTTTTCCTATACTCGGTACTAATGGCCATTGACCAATGAGGGATCTTTTTCCTGCCAGCATCTACTGAGACACGGGAACTCGGTTTATATGGTCTCATCCGAATGCTCGTTTTCCACGTCCCCCAGTGGGATTCGAACCCACGACGTTATGATCAACTACTTACTTCGCGACTCTAGTGCAGACGCTCTAATATTTCAAGTTGCATTTATAATAAAAATCATTTCATAGCTAGATGTTCAAGATAGTAAAATTTTCAAAAAGAGGGACGTTAAACAGTACACAATCATTCAATCAATCTTCTGCTTATCAATATTATCATGCTATTTGGTTATGCCATGCTATCACGTGCTAAACTCTACTGTAGATTTTATCACATGCCATCTTCAAATTCCTGTCCTTTCCTAATGAAATTGAATATCATCTTTAATTCTTAAAAATATCAGCCATGGGGCACCGCCAAGCATATTCTCTCTACAAACTTTCTGCGCATCTATTCCATCAATACAATGACATACATACAATATTCCACGTACTTAATCCTAATTTACACATTTATTTGTAAAGATTAAATATATGGAGATAACGAACAGTATTCAAGCTCAAAAGTCCATTGAACACTACAAATTATAGCAGAGCAAACACGGGCCTCTGAATCATTCGATGTGGGATCAGTTGCCATGGAGGAGTGAGCATTCCCTGCTGACCGGTCACACCCGCCATGTACTCCTTGTCATAATCGGGAAATAATGAAAAAATCCGACTTAATGAATTGTACTTGCTGACAAGATCAATGTATCGACCAAAGAAATTACGAAATGATGACTTTAAACGAGGCTGTTGATATTCTTGTTTCAGCAACTTGTTTGTCAATAGTTTACCTCGTTTTAGAAATTTTCCATACGTAAAGCATACTCTAGTATATAGATTCAATTGAGAGATATAAACCCCGTATGCAGGTGATGGTATATTACTGCATAATTGAGGGAAAGTAAAAGTCATCACGTTTATCATTAAGCTTGATTGTTGAATAACCAGTAACGTCTTTTTCAATATCTAAATATGAAACAGATGTGTCAGACTCTGTGGTGGATGTGCCAAGACTCGGTGGTATCCTTTATTTCATATAAATAGTAACAAAATATGTCTGTCTTTCTTTGTTAGTATGGAAATTAACATTGCAGCTATTGCCGAATAATTACATCTTTTAATAGCATTTCACTATTTTCGATATTTTGAAGTCAAACAATACGCATCTATTTTCGTATATTGTCATTGCTGTGATGTCAGTCCGTTGTCCTTAGAGTCTAAGAAAAATACATATGGCAGTCCCATACTAGTAAGCAGTATATTGTTAAGTGAATATCAGACTGCCTTAGGTTTGATATCCTCCAAAGACCAAGGTTAACCCTCGGCCTTTTTTGGCCCTGTTAATTTCTGAAAAATCAGAACTGCTAATCTCAGCGAGATGGGTAGAGTCTAAAATTTTGGTCTGACGTCAACTACCCATCTCAGACCATTCCCACACAACGTGATTCGGGTTTTTTGCACCGACTTCGGCCGCTCGTTTCAATGAATACGGGCTGAAATGAATTAGCAGCCCGCCTCAACTTTTTCCTTTGAACATCCCTTCAAGTCTCTATCACTATAAAACTTTCCTTTCTTACCTTTAAAAGGTTTAAATCCAGCAAAATATAAAGTTGTTTATTTTTCCTGGCAGCATAATGCCTGTTTGCTATTCATTTCAGGATGTACAACACACCTACCCCCAAAAATTCCTGTCGTTTACTTTTCGTTATTTTTGTATATTTAGTACATGACTATATCTACTGCATGTATGCACATTTTGGACAAAATCGTTCGAGTGGTTTTTGGGCAGGAACTTCCAAAAGTTGCCCCCCTTTAGTCGTTTACAAGGAGAGAAAATTTTTAATCAATGAACTACTTAAACCTTGATTTTCAAAAAAGCCAGGTTAGATATAAATGTCAAATTTCATTGACTTATTCCTTTAACCATTTAACACAAAAACATAGTCATCTTTTTGATATACATATCATCAAAACAATTTTTAAAGACCTTAAACTGAAAAACTATGAATTATCTCTGCCTTAAAAATTGTGTATTTTTCAAATTCGTTATTTTTTTGTGAAAAAACCCGTCGTTTAATTTTGGTAAAAAACTTTCTTTAGGTAGCTGGTAGTAAAAACAATCTTAATAATTTTTTGTATAATTTTTGTACGACCAGTTTTGATTTAATAGCGGAAAATTACCCCCTCCCCCTTTCTCAATAAATCACGTTCCCGCGCGTCTTTCAGACGGGGGTTGATCACTTTGCTATGAATAAGTTATCTACAAATACACATTCTAAAAAAAAATCAAATTGTAATATTGCTTTTGCTTAAAAAATATATTAACTTACAAATTAAAAAGTTCTCATATGTAAAGCGTATTTAAATGTAGATTTATAGGCAATTTTTTGAATACCCCTACCACCCCCACCCCTTCCTTTTTTGCGTCGCAGACCAATGTTAGCGTTTGACGAAACGTCGTTTAAACAGTGCAGATATACTAGTATTTTGTTATTTGAATCCCGGAGGTATGCATTAGTTTTTAAATGAATGAATGCAGAATAAATATTGATAAATATTGACAACTGTTTTTATATGTATCAGGAAAAAATTACTGAATGATTTTAGTTTTAAGTCCATATATGTACGCGTTATGCATTCCATATCACATGAAACCTAGATACGAATTCAAGTTATGTTGAACTTGAATATGTTGATTTTTAATTTTATTTCTTTAATTTAAAAAAAAAAAATGGTGTATGTTCAATTCTCCTGTGATATAAATGGAATAATTGTAGTTTCTTTCATGTCATTATAATTTCAAACGAGACAGTATGTGGCCGTGGGGATACATCGACATTTGTATAGATGTACACCCCTCATGATATTGTACGCATTCTTTCAATATCGTTGCTTCTAAAGTTTAAAGGAAAATTCCGTATTCGTCCACATTAACTTCAAAATATCAAACATTAAACTCTTCATCTATTTTGATTTATATCAAATCGCACATTGATATTTTTTAAAATCTTATAGGCTACGTTTTGTTTTGATTCGAGGAAATGCGAACCGACATTGCATTGTTGGCAGTGACAGAAAGTCAAACGATTTGCTGAAATAGCCGATATTCATAAATGCAGATAATTTCAGTACTAGTGAACAATTCTTTTCGCAATTCTATACTTACATTGTGTATATGAGGTCTATAGTATTCAATTCTCGGATTTATCAGGTCTTGCTGTAAATGTATTTCTGTGGAAAACCGTGAATAAAGGGAGGAAAATAAACATCTCCTACATTTTCAGAGTTGTTCCTCTTTGATCAGTAAATGTCTGAGAACAACATCGATTTTACATTGTAAAAAGTTTTTTGTTTGTTTATTGTTGTTTTATTTAATTAAAGAAGAAAAACAATATCTATATCGTAAATGCACAGATTGTAATGAAGACCATTAATTAATCGGAATGTTATATAGCCAATTGTACATAATGAGAATTTCGGCAATGTAAAATAAAAGTTTCAGAATTAAAAAAAATGCTGCGCTTTGATCAAGTTTAAAATTTATTGTATATGGAATGAAATGAAATAAACATTAAGGGATGGTATTTTATGTCTATTACTTGCTTTTTTACGGAGTTTAATCGGGTTAATTAAAAAAAATACTTATTGATTGAGTATGGTACGCATAATCACAGCCAAGCCCCATATCCCATTTTTCTTTAATGATTGAAATACATCGGGATCGTTTTACTCGTCATTTTGACGCTTTATTTTTGACGTTAATTTGACGTCACGTCAAACGCTCAATTGAAATCGCAAGAGTTATCTCCCCCAGTGTGTTGTACGTCTTTAAACCTTCGATGCTGAAGAGTTCCACAATAATCTGTTTCAAATAATTCGTTCTACTACTATATCTTATAGGAATGATCTATAGTATGAATTATTTGATACAGATTATTGTGGAACTCTGGTTAATTAATTGGTATAATAACAGGCCCACTTTATAAAGTTTGTGATAATATTCATAATTTCTAATAAAAATAATATTGTTAATGTACAAAAAAAACTCTTTATTTCAGCATATATATGAAATCAGGTCAATCAGGGCATTATACTATCAGGGCATTATACCTTCCCCCTCTTGGGACTGTTATCGAACAAAAAAATGTGATTATTCAGCCAACACCAATGATTGTTCTTAGTTAACTCTACTAAAGAAAGCAAAAGTGAGAAAGCTAACATACCCCACGCTCCCCCAAAACTGGAAGTGCCTAAGTTCCCGAGAAAAATAAAGGAATCGGAATTTCCTGGTAATATGCACATCAACGCTTTGTGTTCTATACTGAGTATGTCTGCAAAGTTTGACGAAATTCCGTGCAGTGATTTAAAAGGAGTTGCGCTGCCAAACTCTTCATCTCTCTATACAAGGTATTGCCAAAAATATGAATTGAAAAGTGCCGAAATTCCCAGAAAATTAAAGGAATCGGAATTTCTTTAAGAGGACCGGAGTTGCGCTGACAAACTGTTTATCTCTATAATCAAGATATGGCCAAAAATCTAAGTTGAAAAGTGCCGAAATTTCCAGAAAAAAATAAAATGAATCGGAATTTTCCTGTAATATGCACATCTACACATTGTGTTCTAAATATATGCAAAGTTTGACTAAATTCTATGCAGCGGTTTATGAGGAGTTGCGCTGACAAAAAAAACAGTACAGACGGACTAACACACTGACGGACGGGTCAAAAACATTATATATAATTACCTCCCGCAACTTGTTGCGTGGGGTATAAATAGAATATTATGCACTAATCAAACAGAATTGGAAAATTAAAACAAAAATATTCATTCTGAAACAGAAAGGGATAGAATTGAAGATCCATACACTATCTTTCTGAAGCTGTTTTAAACATATCTAACTTGAAGTAATGTTTTAATCCAGAAATTCTCTTATTCTGGGTTGAAACCATAGGCCCGCTTAAATCGCTTTTATCATCATAAAAAATTGGTGTGTATAAAAAAATGAAGTTATGGGACTTCATTTTGAATTCCTTTAAAACAAAATGCTAAAAAATTTTACTCTCTATTTATATAAACAATTTACATTTCTACCAAAGTTCATTCCGAAATTCCATATACATCCCGACATATTCTGA